TTCTTCGTTGTACTTTTGTTTTATACCTGGTATGACAACGTTTCCGATCCGTGCATTAAGATCCCCGAGTACGATAATTTTGTGTTTCGTATTTATGTTATCTACGACGTTTTGTAGTTGCTGATAGAAATTTTCAGTTATTGCTGTAGGCTTAGATATGTCTGGGGCATACGTGCTTATCAGGTGTGTTGTGATGTTACGCATTTTTATAGAGTTTTTTAATAATCTATCGTTGATGTATTCGATATCTTCGATGTTTTGCGTGTATTTACCGTGCAGCAAAATTCCAACTCCTGAATGCGCTCTTTCTTGTTTAGCTTTCCCGCTGTATATGAGTATGAGTATAAATTCTCCGTATTTTGATGTTCCTTGGCCTTTTTTCTTTGTTTCGGAGATTCCGCAGATGTCAATATTGTGTTTCTTTATTTCTAATATGATCTCCTGGTCTCTTCGGTTCCACGACGTAATGTTCCAACACGCGATTCGTGTGATGGGGTCTTAAGGTTTTCGTTTACCAATTCGTTTTTCCATTGTCATAGCGTGTGTCGTCATCTGATATTTCCGTCCGGTATCCGAGGCTGAATCTTCAGTTCTGTGAGCCAATATGGGTTTCTTTACCCCAGGTAGGTGGCTAGCCTTGCCATGGGGACCCTCCTCCTTTATCCGGGCTTGGGACCGGCAGTGTCATCCGATGAGCTACTCAATCCACCCATCTGACAACCCAGGCGGAGTTGATTTAAAGGTATTGAATTAAATTATAATATTTATATATTTATATAAATAATATACATAATTAAATTTAAATATTTTTTACGAAATAATAATTCAATATTTTTTTTATGGAAACATGTAATTCATTTATTTTTCTGAGATTTTCCGACAGGTAAAAATAGCAACATTCTGATTAATTTGTTGAGCTCGCTAGAGCTTGCTAGAGCGCTTTAATTTGAAGTTCCATTCGAAAAAAAGCTCGGAAGTTCTCCCCTTCACTTTTTTGAATCGGTATTTTACGAGTACAATAATTTCAACGGTTTATAACCTTTTAATCCTTTTATGAGTTATTGATAGTAATAAACGATGTAAATACGATTTTAAGAATAAAATGCAAACTTGTTTGCTATCGGTCACATAAGTTTTTGCTTTTTTTTTTGGAAAGTGTGTTTTTTTACCAGCTTTTAATTGAACCTACCTATAAACGTGTGGCATAAAAAACATGAAAAGTTATAAATGAATATAAGTTAAAACTTAATAAAAATCAAAAATTAAATAATATGAAGTTTTTTTAAATATACCCTAAAACTGACGTCTCAAGAATCAATTGCAATTTACAAAATACTTGTAGAGTGACATAATTTCAAGTTTCTATACTACATGTCGTTGTGCAAAGTTATTGACATTTATAAATTGCTGCAAAAATAATGATTTTTGCATCTCTCTCGGACAATTTTTTAGGTATAATTTGGATAATATCAAAATTACATAACTTTGTATCATCTACAACTTTTATTTGAACCATTTTACTCAAAATAAGAAACGTTTTATAGTAAAACCCTGTTCTTCTGCTAGTGATATAATTTCCTAGGTCCGATTTGTCTGCCTTTTCAAATAAAGGTATAGGTTGCTTGATCTCCATTTTTGTGGTTTTCTGTTATTTCTGTTTCTGGTGTTTCTATTATTTTTTGAAATAGTTTTAATAGTTGTTTGCTCTGATCTGATCCTCTGTACTTTAAGTTGTATTCAGTATTCTGCCCTTTCCTGGTGAGTTTCTATTTTTAATTTTCCTTCATTATTTCTTTATCTCTTCCTCCTCAATTTTATTTCTTCGTTTGTCATCACGTCTGGTGTTTGTGGTTCATTTTCGCAAACTTTAATAAATAGGGATCGAAATTAGTCTGCCCATGTTTTGTTCTTAATGTGTTTTATTCGTATTAGTTTGTTTATCTCTGTTCTTTATCCTTTGATTCTTCTCCATATTTCTTTTTGTGTTCTGTAGAAGTCATGTTTCATTTGTTTTGAGAAGTCAACCAGTGTTCCCTTTTTATTTGTCTAACTAAAGTAGTCGTTTCATTTCTGAATGACTGTGGCTGTATGCCTGTTGTGTTTTTTGTCTTCTGTATTATAAAAAGGATGTGTTTTTTTTCTAATAATTTGTCACTTCTTCTCTAAACTATGGAGTTTTCCTTTTTGATAGGATAGTCTGATACTTTCCTCTCTCCAAGTGATTCTGTTGTTTCATTAATTTTGTTATTTTTTAGTTTTTCACAGTTCTCCCCGATGTTATCGTTTTCTAATATTTTATTCTCAGCAATATTTTATTGTATTTTCTATCTAATATCTAACCCTGATTTCTGTTTGTGTTAGTGCCCCGCTATCTTAGGTGTAAAGTATTTCATAATGGTTCGTATTTTACATACGACAGTACTAGGCTATGGTTGCTACCTACATCTGCATCTAACGCCAATTATTTTTGATCGATGTATTATATCTGTTGCTTATAACATAATATATCATAGATCTTTGTCCACGAGTGTGATTGATGGATGTAGGTCTTTGTGGTCAAAAAATCTGCAAGTTCATTATTCTTGCAGAAGTTTATTATCAGTTCTTCATCTTCGTGTTTAACATTCTCGTTATGTTTTTCCTTAATTCCGGGTATTACTTAATTACCTATTTGAGCAGTAAAATCCCCTAATATTATTATCTTCCCTCTGACTTGATCTACTACTCGTTGTAGTTCGTCATAAAACATTTCCTTTGTTGTTTGAGGCTTGTTATTTTTGGGTCCTATACTCCGATGATGGTCAGGTCTTCCTTCGCCAATCTTATTTTTGCTGTTACAATTCTTTCTGATAATAATTAACATTTCTTGATGTGATTGGAGTATTAGTGAGTCTACACCTTCTTTGTCCGTGTTTTCTTCTGCTACTCCACTGTAGGTTAGTACTTATGTATTCACCAAATTTTGATTGTCCTTTTCCTTTCTATTTTTTCCCTTCAAAGCGCAAATGTCTATTGGTTTTTCTTTTAGAACTTGGTCCCTTAAGTTGAACAAACTGGTATTCCATGTAGCAATTCTCATGTGGGTTTTGGATATTTTTGGCTTGTTCTTATTTCTTGCCGTGGTCGTCTTCGGTGTATTAATCCGGTTCTGAGGCTGTACATTGTTTCTTTGGGTTATATTCGTTTTTACGATTGGTAAGGTGCTAATCTTGTCAATCATCCTCCATATTTTATAAGGCTTGCTAACGGCTATGGTAACAACCTCAGAGCTACTTAATTCACTACGAAATTATCCCAGGCTGTGTTCTGGCTATGTAACTTAAGTAATTTAGCAATGATCGGTTTATTTTTTAAGAATCTTTTTTATACTAAGCTCTTCTAGAATGAACTACTTTTGTCGATTTTTTGAAAGTCCATGTTTCACCTGCGTATGTAGCAATAAGAGAAATAAGGCCACCGATCAATCTAAGCTTAGTATGCTTTGTTATTGTTTGGTCTTAATAATATGTTTTAATTAATTTAGCTATTGCGGTTAGGAAAATTGCTAGTCTATGATTGATTTCTGATGAGCATCGCAATTGTTGGGCCCAATTATACAAATATGGTGAATTTCTAAATTCGCCACTTGGTATATGAGCCATATATTATTGTTTGTCCGGTCTACGATCAATATTTTTATTTTTCCGATGTTGATGTGAACTCTAAATTCTTTGCGGCTTAGCCGTTCGGTGTGGTAGTCATTTCGACTTCATTCGCTGATAGTATATGTGTGTCATCTGCCTATCGCATGTTGCTGATTTTTCTGCATACTATGTTGATTCATGCATCCCATTTGTCTAGTACTTTTCTATTATATATTTAGAACATATGTTGTATATTAATAATAATAGTATGCAGTCCCGTCTAGTTTCAATTGAAAGCCTTTTTGTAATCTACTAAATAAAGCAGCATTACTATATTGTGTTTCCTTGTTTTTTCTATAAAAGTTTGTATTATATATGTGGTCATGTTTTCTTTCCCTGGTACGAATACGAATTTTTCTTTAATTATCTCTGGCAGAAATATTTTTAGCCGTTCATTGATCATATGTAGCAGGATTTTGCTTGCATGAGTAATAAGGGCAGGGTTCTGTAATTGCTGCATACGGTTAGAGCTCATTTTTTATGGATAGGAATGAATAAGAATTGATTTGCACCACTCATCGTGTCATTCGCCAGTCATTCATATTTATATTCATATTCATATTTTTGGTTTTTAGTTAGTTAAGATCCCTTCTTACTTGTACTGGTAAAATGATTGGTTCTGCCCCTTTAATTGCATGTTTCTTAGAGACTGAGACTACTTTTTCAGGTTTTTGCAATGCTCTCTGACCGTTTTTATTTCTTCGTTACTTTTAATACTACATTTACCAAATTAAAACAAGAGACTTATTTTTTTTTAATATCATCCTTCTTAAGAGGATGTTTTTAAAAAATTTTAAGTGCTTTAGATATTCTGCATTCATATTATCACTATTATCTTCTGTTTACTTAAAAATGTATTATAATATGATGGGGACTATCCTAGTATCTCATTGATATTTTTAGTCATCTGATTTCTAATCTACTGTTCTATGTTTACTGTTTTTCCCTAAACTGTTGACAATGGAGCCTAGTTTTTGATATTAACACTTTTGTTATATCAGCAAGTTCCATAGCATTTATTATATAAGCAGGAAAGCAGGAATAGAATCTGTATACTTTTTTTTAGTTGCACAGAGGCGTATACATTAGCGAAATGGTCGAATTTTAGTACTTTGTCAAATGTACATTAATCAGTAGCCTTTTATACTACTTAATATGTTGTCTCTATTAAGATAATGATGTATATTTTTTGTTCTTTAACATTTTGGGTATTTAGTTACTGGTAAATATATAATTATAGGCAATTATCATGGGTGTACGAAAATGTGGCACAAGAGCACTTCTAGAAATGCTTTACCTACATCCTATGATCCAAAAAGCGGCGGGAGAAATACATTTCTTTGACAGGGATGAAAACTACTTCAAAGGTCTGGAATGGTACCGAATGCAGATGCCTCATTCTTATCCTGGACAAATTACTATCGAGAAGAGTCCAAGTTATTTTGTTACACCAGAGGTAAGTCTTAGTTATATAGGACCACAATAGATCTAAAAAGCTCTCAGTGGAATAGGCCAAAAGGTCACATCTCTAAATGTAATCTAATCTTGGTTATATATATGAGGATCATAGAACTTAAGGGGTGTAAGTGACAAAACGTAAATTTTGTGTAAATGCCGTTCAAATTTGAGCCTTCACTGTTATTGCCATGATTTTTTAATGCTAGTTTTTCTTCTCTGGTTTAGTAACTGTAGGCATTATTATTACTATTGGTAACAAAAAAATCATAATTTATAGAATTTAGTGATTTTGGAGCTATTTTTGTGTTGCTAAGTGGCAATAAGTGATAGTCTAAGAAATGTAACATAAACGTAAACAATGTAAAAAGACCATAAAGTTTGTGTACAATTTATTCTTCACCATAACTCTAATATATAATTAACTTATTATTGATTAACATTAGTGTCGTTGTTGACCATCATGTCGCAAATTTATCAAAAACTCGATGGTAAATTGGAGGTAGGGTAAACTGGTCCATAGTGGGACGTTTTTTTTTTTTCCAAAGTGTATAGCACCTTGATTAGGCGTTTGTAAATTATAGTAAGGGTACCTATGCATGGGTATGGATGTAAGGAAGCAAACTATTAATAATTTCAAGTAGTCCTTTATTTATAATAAATGCTATTTAACAAGTCCCACTATGGACCACTCGTCCCACTATGAACCACTATATGGTCCATTGTGGGAATCATAGTGGTCCATAGTGGGATTTTTAGTAAAAAAACTCTTTTATTCTATTTTAAATTGTAACAAATTAACAGGGAACATAAACTGGCGAGCAGCCCTAGCTGTATTTTCACTAATGGCAGGAGGGGGGCAGTTTTAACAAAATATCTTCTGCTTCTACGGTATTTACATCGGGTTTATCGGGGAAAACAAATTTGCCGGCGACAATTCTCTTCATGAAAGGGATATTATATTCATCTCTACTTATTTTAATAATCTGACCGATATAATGTTTAACAGTTTTTCTTGTCATGTATCTTACTATAACATAGTCATGCCTTTGAATAGACAAATCTTTATTTTCTGATGTGAAGCTTTCCAAATCGCTAGAATCGTTGCAGATTTCTTCACTAACATCACTGTTCAAATTAATGTCGTCATTAAAAACTTTTGTAGCCTTCAGCTTTTTCTCTTCTGAAAATGTTTTTTTAGCCAATCTTTCTTTATGCTGTTCCTCTATGGCATCTTTTATTGGGGTGTCTGTTATTATTGCTGACTGTAGCTTCTTTCTGCTTCTTCTAAGTCTTTTCCTAGGAGTAGCTTTGGCATGTGCCCCAATTTGCTGAGGGGTTATTATATTGGATGGGCCATTAATTGGGCTGACATGTCGTGGTTCTTTTACATCCTGAACATCTACATCCTGAACAACTTCCACATCCTGAACAGCTTCGTTAGCCTTATGTTCGTTACCATTTTCATTTTCATTTTCTTCGGATCTATCAGTGACATAAGATGACATAAAATCACTCTTTGAAAAAATTTGGGAATTCAGGGGCGCTATGCCTGTTTTTTTAAATCCGTTGAGAATGTTGACAGGAGTGAATGCTTTAGGGTAGGCGGTACCAACAACATTACAAACATCATAAATGCTCATAGGTATGGCAGGATTAATGTTAAGCCGTAGGATATTTCACAAGCCTGAATTATGTACTCGCACAATAGCTGTTCCTCTCTACTTGTAAATATAAATAAATATAAATATAAATACAGTATATACAAGTAAATATAAATACAAATAAATACTTGTAACCATGGGTTCGTCCATATTCAAAATCATTTGTGTTGTCTTCATTAGCTTTATTATATAATTTGAACTTCTTCGCTTTGCGCTGTAGAGCTGACTTGCTTACACCATGCTTTTAGGACGCATTTATCAACGACGTTTGATTTTTTTACAACATATTCTACTGCAGAATGCATAGATCTTGCATATACTTCATGATTCTCTAGGCTTTTTTCGAAAATTACTGACAGTTGGAATCTTGAATATCTCGGCATATTCAATTCTGCAAAGAATGAAAATGTTTAGTATATTTCAGCATAGACCGCATTCTATAATCATATCCCAGTATGGACCGCTTTTTTATTCCCACTATGGACCATGGCGCATCAAAATACAAATGAGCAAAAATTTTATCGAAGTGGTAAAGCTAGGTTTAAACAGAATACGATAATATTGAGGTTATGTATGTAATAGATATCCTTACCAAATTCAAATTAAATAGGATACATTTCGGCGAATTATTCGAAAAAATCTGAACATGGAAATAAAAATTTTCAGCTGATCACTTACCTGAATTTCCAAAATATCGAAACGCATAGTACTAATTGAAAAACTAACACAAGATTCGGAGGCGGAAATTTTATGATAGCACACAGCACACACACACTGAAATATAGCTCTACGCGATGATAAAATAGCCAGGAAAGTGAAATTCCCACTATGGACCAGCTTACCCTACGTAGTTGAGTAACTATTGAAGATTTGGATAATTAGCTTACTTAATGAGAGGCCTTTTGTTAAGTTTTTGCCAGTTCGAATGAATTTCATAGATAGCACCCTAAACTCTTCTTTAATACCTTCAGCATTTTGATTGTGAAACAAAGTTGAAGGTTTGTCCTGTCAAAAATGTAACCATTGCATGCTCTGTATTCCACTTACGCCCTTCTTGAAGTACGGAGTAAGTGTTTGAAAGTCTAAAAAATCGTCATTTTGCGTCTGTCCTAAAAAGAACTTTCTACTTGTAGAAGTTATCAGCGTTATCCAATGCTGAGGTACATAAAGGTTTTTTGGCTCTTTTCTTTTTTAACTCTATTACAGTCTTGGTCGCACTCATTATAACAATTCTTCTTCTTAGAGTGCCGTCTCCCTACGGAGGTTGGAAATCATAATGGCTATTTTTATTTTAGAACTTGCTGCTCTAAACAAATCAATCGATCTGCATTGGTACCAATCACGTAGATTCTTTCACCATGAGTTCTGCCTTCGGCCAACAGATCTTCTTCCTTGAATCTTTCCCTGTATTATCAGTCTCAAAATTTCATATTTTGGTCCCCTCATCACGTGGCCTAGGTATTCCAGTTTTCTGGTTTGTATAGTGGCGATTAGTTCTGTTTCTTTACCAACCCTCTCCAGTACTTCTTTATTTGTAATTCTATCAGTCCATGATATTTTCAATACTCTGCGGTATAACCAGAGTTCGAAGGCCTCGATTCTTTTTAAATTACATTTTTTTTAATGTCCAAGTCTCAGCTCCATATAATAATATTGAAAATATATAACAGCGAATGGTACGTAGTCTGATCTCCAAATTTAGATTTTTGCAGGTTAGGAGTGGCTTCATTCGTATAAATGCTGATCTGGCAATCTCTATTCGTCTGTTTATTTCTACAGTATGATCATTGGTTTCATTGATCAAAGTTCCCAAATACTGATATTTTTCTACTTGTTCTATCACGTTACCATTTATTGTCAATAGGTGATGTATATTTTGTGGCCTTTTTGTAATCAGCATGTACTTCGTTTTTTTTGGCGTTTATAGTAATTCCCATCTCAGCACTATTTATACTCAAGCTTTCGATAAGATGTTGTAGATCCTCTATACTCGTTGCTATGATCACAGTGTCGTCTGCATATCTTAAATTATTAATTAATTTTCCGTTAACGGTGACTCCCGCTTCGATATTATAACAATGCACACTTATAAAAAAGCGATTATGTACTATTTGAATATTAGTGTTTCTGACAATGTAAAGCCCAAATTTGACTGTCAGATGACTCTAATTTTGGCCTACACAGTTGTCGCTAAATGTAGGTATGTGTTTCTGAAATGGAGGAAGGTTTTGGATATATTTTAGAAGACAAGATATTTCCAGACATCCACGTGACGCTTGGCCTTCGTGTCACAAAGAAATGGTCGTTTCAGTCAGTAGGTTATGGATCCCGAAGTTATACGTCCATAGTTACCTTAAATAATATGCTTTAGAAGGTGACACATTAGAAGTTGGCACAGGATTTTTTCTGTCTAAGCTAAAGCGGTTTCTTTTGCCAAAACACGATTTATTTTTATATGAAATTTTTCACATTTATTACTGATGTCTGTACTTGGCATTTTAAAACCAAGGTTGAAATAAGTATTAAAAATATTTCTCTAAAAGCTTTCACTCAGTTTCTTCCTGTTTTTTCTCCTTACAGAAATCACTCTGTACATTTTTTTACTTTTTACATTTTTTTTTTACATTTTACTCTTAAAGCTTGTACATTTTTTTTTGCTCTTTTATAATTAAAATTACCCTTAGAGAAATTTTGTTCGTGGGTGATTTCTTTCGTCTTTTGTCTATTCATGACACGTCTGAGCAGACTTTTTTTGCTTTCAACTACATTTTGTAAACGTTTGTTGGAGACATCAAGAGTTTTCATTATAAACTGTTTACATACCCTAAAACTCTCCAGAGTGTAAAGACGTGACACCTCCTTGTTTCTAACTGTATTTAGTTTCTTTCTTTTTGTAGTCTTGGTCTGTATAGATTGATTTAGAAAAGCTGTTTGGGAGATTCCAGTGCCCAATGCTCAATACTCTTTAAAAATTTATAGTCTTGGTACTTGTGAAATAATATTGGTACATTTATTCCATTAATGCTTTATAAGAATTGTGTTTTTGTCCATGTCAGCCAGAAGAAACAAAACGAACTGTTCTTGAAAACACTGTAGTTTGTAATAACGTAAAACTACCCATCCAAAATTATAACAAACTCAACTAACAGTCACAGTGTAACAGGTATACAAGTGCGCTTGTATCTTTTCTCTTTCAAACCCTACTCATCGTTGGCTTGAAAAGCAGTACCTGTTAGACTTACCGCTTAAACCTCTTTACCACCAAATATAATGAAAAATGACCAGTTCAGTGATGCAGTTTGGTCAATATTTACAAAAATGTCGCTTATAGGTTTTG